TGAATTCTTTGATTGTTAATATCAAACTTCCTTTAGATTTGAATAAGGATAATAGATCATAGCCTTTATTATTTAAAAATACTCCTTTCAAAATAAAGGCTCCTGAGGCTTCCAAAATTGGATTTTAACATATTCTTAGTATTGTATAATCAATTTCAGCTAAAGAATACTATTAATAAATACTTTTTTTTAAAATTGAGTTATTTTAAAGTGGCAATTTACACTTAAAAAGAAGGTCTTTGTAACAATTATCTTAAGGTAAAATCTCTTGTGCTTGTTTAACGTCCCATAAACAGATAGAGTTATCATAACTACCAGATGCTAATTTAATACCATCAGGAGAGTAACAGATTGAATAAACTGTACTTGAATGACCATCTAATTTGGTTTTTAATTATCCTGTTTTAACATCCCATAAACGGATAGACTTATCTGAACTATCAGATGCTAATGTAGTACCATCAGGAGAGTAACAAATTGAATAAACTGTTCCAGAATTATTATCAAAGTTAGCTTTTTACTGTCCTGTTTTCACATCCCATAAACGGATAGACTTATCTGAACTACCAGATGCTAATGTAATACCATCAGGAGAGTAACAAATTGAATAAACTACACTTGTATGACAATCTAATTTGAATTTTTAGGATCCTGTCTTAACATCCCATAAACGGATAGAGTTATCCCAACTACCAGATACTAATATAGTACCATCAGAAGAGTAACAAATTGAATTAACTGCACTTGAATGACCATCTAATCTGGCTTTTTGTTATCCTGTTTTCACATCCCATAAACGGATAGACAGATCTGAACTACTAGATGCTAATGTAGTACCATCAGGAGAAAAATTGACTGACATAACACAACCAGAATGACCATCTAATTTGGCTTTTTATTATCCTGTCTTAACATCCCATAAATGGATAGTGTTATCATAACTACCAGATGCTAATGTACTACCATCAGGAGAGTAACAAATTGTTCTTACATAATCTGAATGACCATCTAATTTGGCTTTTTATTATCCTGTCATAACATCCCATAAACGGATAGAGTTATCATCACTACCAGATACTAATGTAGCACCATCAGGAGAATAACAAGTTGAGTTAACTTTATCTAAATGACCATTTAATTTAAATTTCTATTTTCCTGTTTTTAGATTCAATAAATACACAAATTATCTGCGGCTGAAAGCTAGTGTAGTATTGTTAGGTGAAAAGCATACTGATTTTATTACTTCCTTTTTCTTGATACTAGACTTTACTTTTCCTGTTTTAGCATCCCATAATATAATCGAATTATCATCACTACTAGATGCTAATAATTTACCATCTGGAGAAAAGCATACCTGATTAACTCTTCCAAAATGACCATCTAGTTTATTTAACTCATATATTTTGATATTCTTCCATTTACAATTATGCATTTAAGCTGAATTTAAGTTCATTCCACTAATATCTACATTGTCAAGTTCTGATCCATTGAAATTGCATCTTTCAAAATTTCCACCAAGTATAGAGGTATCTCTAATCCTAATATTCTCAAAACATGATCCCCTCAAATCCACTCTCATTTAAACTAGTAAATTAAGAGAATTTGATCCACAATAAATAAATCTCTCATCTAAAGCTGTCAGATAAACTAAAAATCTTAGGAATTCTATAATCTCCTTCTCCAATTATATTTTTATAATCAATTCCTTTTTGCTTTCTTCGTAATCATCTATCGAGTATTTATTAAATTCATGATCCCTAATTATTTGAGAATATCTATTATTCTCTTAATGTTCTACTCTCCATTGAGAGGCTATTCTTTACCAAGCATTTATAAATTTTTTAGCTTTTAGCTTTCTATTTTAATATGAAATTGATTTTGATCTTATGAGAGAAATTCTAAGCAGTCTTAAATTCTCTCTTTTTTTAATATGTTTATGAGGATAGGGAGGATTTCTTCATCAACCTCTTTCGATAAGGCCAAAACCTCATACAACTCTCGAACTTACTCTTTTTTGTGGTGCATTTACTTTTTTAAAAAATTATATTGAATTTCTATTACTTTATTTTGAGTTTTATAATCCAAACTAAAAAATACCTTAGACTAATTGGTTTGGAGTATATATAAATGTTTAAGATTATTGGAATTGAAGTAAGTTTTAAAAGGTAAAACTCACATAACCTTGTGCAAAATTGAATTCTTAAAGAATATAGAAAAAAAAAGTTATTAACAAAATCAAATAATCACAATATTACTATTAAGTCATTTGATAACGAATTACTTTAACTCACAAAAGATTAAACCTTAGGATTTCTTTCAAGTCTAAGAGTGAAACAATTTTCTGGGGTTGACTAACTTAAGCGACTTACTCTAGTGCGTATTCATAAAAATTTTTTTTAGCCTTCAAAAATTGCAAAGAAACAATTGTGGATAAAATTTTCTCATTTAAAATAATTTAAATCTGGCGTTAAGTGTAAAGAAAAAAATTTCTTGCGATACTAGTTCAACAGTTTGCTTAAAAACTATTTTCTCATTAATTCTAAAACAGCAAAACTTGTGTAGAAAAATTGTCTTGCATTCTAAACTGATTATTGCAATTCTAACACTACAGCTTGCGTAAAACACTATATTCTTAATCTGCTTACTTAAATAATATAAGATAGATAGACAATCAGTTTATCCTTGAGACAATTATGCAGATTGCATCATTTGCAGAAGTTGTTAGAAGAGTTTTAATTTCTTAATATTTTATACAGTGATTAAAGTAAAGTGAGGTACATAA